TGGCAAAGTCGGGGATTGGGGAAGCAGAAGTGAAATAAGACATCAGAAAGAGAATCAAAGAGAGCTTTGAGGTTAAAAAATGTGGGAAATTAAATATAACAGCAGAAAGGATCATTCCGGACTGACCCCAAGAATATGACCATTGACACTGGACTCCTTAGGCAATATAAACAAGGAATACTATAAAAATTCCCTCACTGGCGAGTGTTCAAGTATGGGGCTCTTGGTTCTCTCCAGCATAGGATGTATGCTGCATCTGAAGTGACAGATTGAGTAATCCCCTTTCAGGGATGAGTCTCTCTTCTTTTACAATGTGCTACTGGAATGAGGTGCCAATTTGCTTACAGTTTGGATGTGCTGGAGCTACCCTGAGACATCCTGCCAGCATTATCATTCATTCTTGTCCATTTTGTCTAAGACGTTTAGACTTTTGTATCAAAATCAGCTGGAGTGCTCTATGTACACAGATGCTAGGCGCCCCATCACCTTTTCTGGAGGCACTCCACCACCTTTCTTTGGAGTCAAATAAACCCATTTAGCAAATCTGCAAAGCCCTAATAAAATAGTGGAGGAGCTAAAAAGTGAGGGTGGTATGAATGGCACCTGCTGGGCTTCCCAGGTGCGTTCCCCACCTTCTGGCTCTCTGGCACTGCTCCTTTAGTTGGGTAATCCAGACTCCAGCTACTGCAGGCCGTGTGGCTCCAGTTTCCTCTTAAGGTTCCCCAGTCTAGTTCTGTTTCTGGAATGTAGCAAGTGCTCAAGCAATCCCTATTGAGTAAAATAATAAATTAGTGAATAAATCTAGGGAAGAGCTACTTGTGCATTTAAAGGAAAAAAAAAAAAGGCAAGAAGGATAGATGTTCTGGGAGGTTCCTCCAGTCTTTTATGGTAAAGGCTTGATGCTCACTGGTCGTGCCATCGATTGACTGTGGGAACATTTGAGTGGCCCTAATCACTGAGGTGTTTTCTCACAGAGGGTATATCTATCCCCAACCTCTTCTCAAATCTCTGCTGTCCGATGACAGTGAGGTGAACACCTTTGCTTTCTGCCATGACGCTTGACTTCACTTGGCCTCAGTGGGACCGACTGACCATGGACCCAATCCTCCAAAATGATGAGCTAGCATAGCCCGCCTTTCCTCCTCTCCTTCCTTCTCTCCTTCCTTCTCTCCTTCTTTCCTTCCTTCCTTCTTTCTTTCCTTCTTCCTTTCTTTTTTTTCAGTTATTTTTTTCTCATTTATTTTGTCATAAAGATGGGAAGTTTGTAGCACGAATCTTAACAGGTCTCATAAAATAAAAACAAACCCAGAGCCAGGTATTGGGGTGAAAGCTGAAAGATCAGAGAAGCAGAACAAGCCACAGCCTCACCTTGCCAATTCCTTAGCTGATCCTGTTTCCTCAGACTAGATGACTCTGAGTCCTCATTCAACTGGATCTCGGGTGAACTGCTGCTCAAAAGACTAAAAGCTAAACCAGGCTCTAGCTCCTGGTCCTCACGCCTCATCTACCTTCCTGCCATCACTTCCTGGGATTAAAGGTGTGTGTCACCATGCCTGGCTGTTTCCAGTGTGGCTTTGAACTCACAGAGATCGCAATGAATCTCTGCCTCTGGAATGCTAGGATTAAAGATGTGTGTGCCACCATTTTCTGGCCTCTATGTCTATCTAGTGACTGTTCTGTTCTCTGACACCAGATAAGTTTATTAGGGTGCACGATATGTTGGGGGACACAACATCACCACAGAAGTTGACTAGCATAAAAAGTAAACAAACTTTCTTGCCAGGGAAGTAGTCATGCCTGTCAGTCATGTGCCAGTCATTGTCCTAAGTATTTTAAAGATGGTAAAAATTCATCCAGAGAACTGCATCAGTGGAAAGCCACTGCCACATTGTATGAAGACTAGAGAAAAGTCCAATAACTTGCCCCAAATCACGTTATCCGGCAAGGCAGGACAGATGAAGACAGGAGCCAGCAGAGCTGGGCTCCTGAGCTGGTACTCCAAGACCAGCTTCATGACTACACATGGAGATGAAGGTAGGAGTGGCTGATGTGGCCAGGCATGTTCCCACTGCTGTGGGTGTTTACATGATAAACAAGAATGCTGACCTGAACATTTCCAGCCTTGAAAGGAGAACGCAAGAGAATAGCCTTTGTTCTTCATCATCCATTTGATTCTCACAAATCTCAATCAGTATTTCACCTAGAAAATTCTTTGAATGTGAAAATAGATAGATAGATAGATAGATAGATAGATAGATAGATATGAACAAATAAATAAATACTAAATAAATAAATGGAGAATCATTTTTACTAGAAAAATAAATTTATATGAAAGCAGGTGTTCTGTGTGTTTAATTTTCCAGCTGTATATTTAAATTTTCTCCTAGACCTTTAATTTCATGCTATAAATTTCAATACAACCACTATAGTGTTTATGTATGTTCTAAAACTATAGAAGGATATGGCACAAAGGAGCTAATTCATTTACTGGTGCCCATGAATCCTTTGCAGAATTAAGTTTAACCAAATCTCTAAGGAAAAATAACAAGAATAATATTATAAGGTAAAAATAGAGAATAAAAGCTTTTCTTGTTAGAAACAAGGAGTCGGGTGCAGGACGATACCCGTCCAATGGATATGAAATGTTATTACTTTGTGAAGAAATAAAAGAATAATAAGTTTAGAAAATTAACTATCAAATTACATTTTTTAAAGAGGGACACTTAAAATGTTGATGAACAAATATAAGATGATGACTCAGGGGCACTAAAAGCAGGAAATGTGTGGGTTCTATTCGATAGTACAATAAGGACTGGGGATTTCACTTTATCGCCCTTGTCGTTAAACCACAGAGTGCTGAAGAGGCAGCTGTGATACAACCACAGTAAAACCAGCTCTTAAAGACGTTTCTAATTAAACCGTGAAAAACCAAAAGAGGAAACTGCTCAGGGAAACCATTTTGAAGACCTTATTAATGGTGCAGTCACAGAGAGGGCTGCATTAGATTTGAACTAGCCAACGCCAATGCTCGTGTGCAACGTGCCAGGCAAGTATGCTGCCCTCCTGGAAACCCTTTTCTTTCAGAGTAAAAAGTTTCTATTTTGCTCTTGTTTTCTCCAATATTAGGATCTTTTGGTTCAGTTAAATTCTAGTTATAGTACTTTGGCATTTGATTTCATGCCTTAATTAATCTCAACTATTTGTAGCCGATTCTTGCCTGGCACTTTGCAGTCTACCTGTGTGAAGAATTCATTCAATCAGTTTGGCCTTCTTTTCCAGAACAATGCCACTTAAGTGTTCATTGTTTAATGCTTGAATATACTTTTTAATTAATTGTGATAATTTTCTCCTATATACGTTTGGCTTCAAAGCCAACCAAATTTCTTGTTGCCGTATTTCATTTTCTGCAGTTTTCAACCTCAAAGTACCCTATAACTCCTTTTTCAATGTCTTAGTCCTCTTCTTCTTTCCTATCTCTCCCACAAACTCTTTATATGGAAAGCCTGATGTGCATGAATATAAAAATAGATTTTTCTGGAGATCCTTCCTTTGTCATTGGGGCCCAGGTAGTAAGGCAGAACATATTTCAGACATATCAAAAGATTTTTATAGATCAAAATTAAAGTTTTCACTTTGTGAAAATAGTCTTTTAATCTCTTGATAGTTATTAAAATAAAATTCTTCCACATTTGTAATTAACAGTAACTGTCTTTAGTATTTTTTATGTTGCTGAGATAAAACACCCTGACAAAAGCAATTTAAAGTGGACAGGTTTATTTTCTCTCATTGCTCAGGGTTACAGACCATCAGGTGGGAATACTCAACAGTGGGAGCCTAAGGCAGCTGGCCACATTGTATCCACAGCCCAGAAGTGGAGGTAATGCCTGATGCTCAGCTCACTCTCTTCTCTCATGAAATCTGGCCCAGAGAATGGTGTCACCTGCCTTGGGTGGGTCTTCCCACTTCCCATGGCCTAATCAAGACAATCTCCCACTGCCGTGCACAGAAGCCTGCCTCCCAGGTAAGTCTAGATTTTATTGAGATCAATTATTCAGGTAATCATTAAAACAAACAAACAACAACAAAACCCTAGGGATTATTTTTATAGTAATAAAGCATCCATTTTACCTCAACTGCTCTAATGGTGGATTGAATGAACGTGTTTCCCACAGGCTCAGATATTTGAGCACTTTGCCCCCATTTGGTGGTGTTATTTGGGGACATGATGCCTCTTTTGAAGGAAATCTGCCACTGGGGCAGACATTGAGACTTTGCACACCACACACTTCCACTTCACTCTCTTTGCTTCCTGTTTGCAGTCGAAGATGTTATCTCTTAGCTTTCTGCTCCTGCTGGCCTGTCTCCCTCCCACCATAATGGATTTTGTTTCTCTGTAACTATAAGCTAAAATAAACTCTTTCTCCAATAAGTGTCTTTTGATCATGGTGTTGACTCAAGCAAGAGAAAAATAATGAATAAATTCTCTTTGATTCGACTAAAGGAAAGGACAACAATCCTTGATGCATTCATATTTCTCTTATCTAATAACCCTACCCTTTTAGCCAGACTATTAACTGACCTTACCTATGTGGTTTATACCTTGAACAATTTCCTCCCAAAGATCTCCAGTCCACAAACCTTCTACTCAACAATATCTCACTTTGCATGGCCAATGTGACATACCATGTTTTTATGTGTACTTAGGATACTGAGAATAGCTAAGAAATATCCCCATGACCATTCAAGTTAGTTAGTATCATCATACATTTACAACATGGAATGTTGGCCCTCAGTACTCTACTGTAATCTTAATTGCACCCTAGCGTCTGCCGTTCCCATCTGAGTTTTTCAACATCCTGTGTCTTCTTTGACTTCATTAACAAATATGCTTGCCTCCTACTTCAGAGACATTAGCTTTATTCCTGATCTACCTCACCTCTACCACTTCATGTACATCTGCCATTCATCCTTGCTTTTCTTAAATCACAAAGAAGCAATACTTACTTACCTGACAGGAGAGATAACATGATCTTGAAGGTGATTTTTCCAGGATGAGGCTTATCCATTGCACTCTGGATGTGCTAGTCCTGAGATTTCCCAAATGTGGGAAACATTACTGCATAATTTGTGGTAGTGGGGGACTTTGTTTGCACTCTGATAAAAAAAAATCACAAAGAAGTATGAAAGAAAATTAATATCTTTTGTGGTGTTATTTTATATGTGCTCTAATAAAGTTTACATGGAGATCAGAGGAAAAAGCCAGCCACTATATTAAATGTAGAGGTCAGGTAGTAGTAGCACACACCTGTAATCCTAGCATTTCAGAGGCAGAGATTCATCCAGATCTCTGTGAGTTCAAGGCCACACTGGGAATAGAGCCAGGCATGGTGGCACCACGCCTTTAATCCCAGTGCTAATTAACCATAGAGGTCTGGAGGTCTGTACAGACAGATAGGAAGTGATGTATCTGGGCAGAGAGAAGAAGTAAGATGACAGTGCACAGGAAGTTTTGTAGACATGAGAATACAGGAAGTAGCTCTGTCTTTGAGGATTTCCTAGCAGTAAGAGTGTGCCTGGCTTCATTCTGCTTCTCTGATCTCTCATTTTTCACCCCAATATCTGGCTCTGGGTTTTTAATTAATAAGACCTTTTAAGATTTGTTTTACATCTGGCCCCCAACATTTGTGACAAGAATTCACTAAAAAGCCACTTGTGGCCTTGCAGGCTCCCAGCTCAGGCTTAAGCTGCATGCAGCTGGAGTCTCCACTACACATGGGCTGGAGTCTCTCTGGCTTCTTCTCTCCTGGTGGGCTGTGGGCTTTCTCTGTATTTCTATTTCAGACTGCTACCACATTAGGTAACTGCTTTGAAACTCCCTCAGACTTCTACTGTTCTACTTAGTCAGCAGACTTGATGAATCAATTAAGATACCTTAATGGGAGAAATTAGTTAAAGGAGTTTTTTCCCCACATTAAAAAATGGGAAATATTTTTACAATGGGGGTAATTTTGTCTCTGTTTGATAACACATTAGGCAGTCTGAAAATGGAACAATTAAATGAGAGGATGATTAATGTTGATGGGATTTACATAATGTTAATTATGAATATTATTGTTTGATCATTTTTCTTTGATCATTAAAAAGGTTGGATAATTTGAGTGCCAAGATAAAAGTTTAGAAAAACTTGTTAAGACAGATCATAGAGATATTCAGACCCAGACAGAAGAAATTAAAGGTGAACCTATCTAAGCAATGAATTTTACAGTTACAGAGAAAGAGTCTAAGGTTTTCAAACAGGCAACATTAATCTATCTGGTAACCTTACAGGAACTGCCAAATGCTCAAGGCTGTGTATAAGCTAACTGGACCTCTGTGGAAATGTTAGATTTGAGGAGACTTAAAGAAGCTATAGTCTCATATGTTATGCATTCTCTGTTTTTTTTTTTTTTTTTTTGTTTTTTTTTTTTTGTTTTTGGTTTTTTTGAGACAGGGTTTCCCTGTGTAGCTTTGCGCCTTTCCTGGAACTCACTTGGTAGCCCAGGCTGGCCTCTAACTCACAGAGATCCGCCTGGCTCTGCCTCCCGAGTGCTGGGATTAAAGGTGTCCGCCACCACCGCCCGGTGCATTCTCTGTAAAGCAGATGTTAAACTCATTTTCAACTTGTAATAGAATTATCCCTCAGGACTGGAAAGATTTGGTTACAGTTGTCCTAGAGGCTGGTCCACAGTTACAATGGAGGACCTAGTGGAAAGAGGAGGCTAAGACTATTGAACAATGATGTAGGGTTAGGGGTATGGAAATTCCCCAAGATGAACTTCTTGGAGAAGGCAATTATGCTGATATACAAAGGCAATCTTTATGTGATTACCACATACTAATTTTATGCTGAATGGTAGACCTGAATGCTTGGGGAAGGATTAAAGAAGTAGGAAAAAAAATTGAGTCATTTACAAAAGTTATACAGGGCCCAAAAGAAACCTTCACTGAATTCTTACAAAGGCTGTTTTTAGCAGTAAATAGAATGATACCAAATTCAGAAGCTAGACAGCTAATATTTGAATCTCCAGCTTTTGAAAATGCTAATACAACATGCAAAAGGGTAATTAGGTCATTAAAGGCAAAATCAACACCCTTGAAGGAATGGACCTGAGATACAATGAATATTGAACCTTATGACCATGATGATACTTGGATAGGAGAGGTATTTTCCAGAGGTTTGAAGAAAAATAATAATGTCAGATGATTTAATTATGGTAAACAAGGTCACCTAAAAAGTGACTGTAAAACAGACATTCCTAGAAATAATGATTTTTCAAAGAACAATGTCAACAAAATGCCCCTCCTTTCTGGATTGCATAAGGTATGGTAAAGACAAACATTGGACTAATGCATGTAGATCAACAAAGGACAGACAAGGTAATCCTTTGCCTTTGCCATCAGGAAGCTCCTTGAGGGTCCTCTCGCAGGCCCCCATAGCAAATTCAGTTCAGTCTTTTCCTTCTATCATAGAAGAAACCCCTTCTCAGTGATATTAAATAACCAATTGCCTATTGTAAAAAAAAACCAACAAAACAAAACAAAAAAAAACCATATTGCTCAGGGTGATAGAACAGATATAGCAAGGAGAACAAAAAATTTGGAGAAATCATAAAGCAAATTTTTTTGCAAACTTCTATAAAAGAACAAAGGCCAAAATTAAAAACACAAATAAATGACATTCTCATGGATGGTCTTGCCGACACAGGTGTGGATATAATAATAGTTGTACAAGAATCTTGACATCCAAATTGGCCTCTTCAGAAGCTAAATGTTCACCTTTTCAGGACTGGAACATCATCTTAAGTGAAACAGAGTGCAAGATGGGTTGAATGTATAGGGCCAGAAGGACAGAGAGGTAAATTAAAGCCATATGTGGCTAATATAGCTATGAATCCATGTGGACAGATTTGTTACAACAATGGAATACCCAGATTAACATTCCTCCAACCTCAGAAACAAACCACAAACTAACACATGTTTCTGAGAAAAATATTAGAAGGTATTATAAAGAATAGTCTCCAGCCATTTGATTGTACAAGAACAGGGCACAATAACTGATGATCTTTCAAAGACACCAACAGCTCTACCTTTAAAACGGTTAACAGACAAGCTTGTATGGGTTCAACAATGGCCTTTAACAACAGAGAAACTGCAGACCTTAGAACAGCTGGTACAAGAGCAGTTGAATGCTCAGCGTATTGAAGAATCAACCAGCCCTTGGAATTCTCCTGTATTTGTTATTAAAAAGAAATCTGGGAAATGGAGAATGGAAACAGATTTAAGAGCAATTAACAAGGTTATTCAGTCAAAGGGCTATCTACAATCTGGAATTCATTGCCTACTCTATTGCCTAAAGGATGGCCTATTATAGTTATTGATTTAAAAGACTGTTTCTTCTCAATACCCTTACAAGAAAAAGACAGAGAAAAATTTGCCTTCCTGGTGCCTACTTATAATAATTCTCAACCAGTTAAGAGATATCAATGGAGGGTTCTCCCACAGGGAATGTTAAATAGCCCAATCCTATGCCAACAATTTATATGACAGCCATTGGAAGTAATACATAAACAATTTCCTAAATCTATAATTTATCATTACATGGACAATATTTTACTAGCTGATTCAAATGCAGATACTTTAGAAAGAATGTTTGAATAAGTAAAGAAAATTTTGCCTTGTTGGGGGTTACAAATTGCTCCTGGAAAGATATAAAAAGGAGATTCTATTAATTATTTAGGATATAAAATAGAGCTACAAAAAATTAGACCACAAAAGGTGCAAATTAGGAGAGATTGATTACAGACTCTTAATGACTTTCAAAGATTATTCAGAGACATTTTCTAGCTATGAACTGTTGTTAGGGTAAAAATGATGAACTGAGTAATTTGTTCAAAACCTTAGAAGGTAACAAGGATTTAAATAGTCCAAGAGAATTATCTTCTGGAGCTGAGTGAGAACTGGCTTTGGTGGAAAAGAAAATACAGGAAGCATATGTGGATCATGGGGATCCAAAGATTGATTGCATTTTGTTTATTTTACCCTCTAAGCATTCTCTTACAGGAATATTAATGCAGAGGGAAAATATTATATTAAAATGAATATTTCTACCAAATAAACAAAGTAAAAAATAAAAACATATATGGAAAAGATCTCCGAGTTGATTTTAAAAGGAAAATTGAGACTTCGTCAATTAGCAGTAATAGACTCTGCAGAAATTGTAGTACTTTTAACTAGTGATGAAACTGACAAATTATAGGCAGAAAGTGAACCTTGCTAAAGAGCTTGTAATTTTTAGGGAGAGATTAGCAGCAAATATCACAAAAGTGATAGAATTCAACTTATAAAGAAAGCTAACTGGATCCTGCCTCTCATTGTATGGGAAACACCAATATCTGGAGCCCCTAACATTTTATACAGATGCAAACAAACAAGGAAAAGCAGGTTATAAATCAGAAAATTTAAGTAAAGTGGTTCAAAGTTCTTATAATTCTGTCCAAAAATTGTAATTATATGCTTTTATGTTGATATTAATGGATTTTTTGGGACCTCTCAACATAGTTACTGACTCTCAATATGCTGAAAAAGTTGTCTTACATATTGAAACAGAATTTATCCCTGATGAGTCAGAATTAAGTTCACTATTTATTCAGTTACAATATATAATCAGGAATAGGAATCATCCCTTATATATAACTCACATATGGTCTGCCAGGCCCTCTACCACAAGGTTATGATGAGATTGATAAATTATTGAAAGGAAATGTGCTGGAGGCCTCAGAATTTCATAAAGATATCACATCAATAGTAAAGATTTAAAAAAAGGATTTTTCCATAACCTGGCAACACACCAAGGAGATTGTAAGGAAATGTCCTACTTGTTCCTTTTACAATCAGGCTCCATCACCAGCAGAATGTAACCCAAAGGGTACTCAGAGAAATGAAATCTGGCAGATCGATGTGTTTCACTTTGCAGAATTTGGAAAATTGAAATATGTACACCATACCATTGGTACTTATTCAGGATTTCAATGGGCAACTACTTTGAGTTCTGAAAAACCTGATTCTGTAATCACTCATTTGCTAGAAGTTGTGGCCATCATGGGTATACCTGCACAAATT